AGACCTCTGAATTAACTAGCCTGGTGGCCCTTATACGAAAGGCTCCAGGTGTCATTTGGAAAATATCTGGGCCAAAAATTTTGTTCAATAAGTGAAGCACCCTGATCACAAAGAATTTAGACCTGACTTGCGTTCTCGAAACAGGAGCCCTGACTATGATCAGTGCTCCCTCTACTCCTTAGAAAGTAAGAACTAATGTAAAGAATTCATCCGATTTGACCATTGCTCTACCAGTGAGGATCTTGAAAGCCATCATGAGGTCATTGATTAATCTTCTATTAAGTAGACTGGGTAGCCCGTAAAGACGCCGTCTTTCTACTGCACTTGGGAGAGAATCATAACTTATTCCGGAACATCGCAGCGCAAGTTTACGAGTAAAGCTATTCTGGACACTTTCCAAGAGCTTAATATCCTTTTTTTTATATGGCGAGAATACTGAAGTTCCATGTTCCACTACAGGTCTAACATAGGATTTATAGGCCTGCAGCAATATCTTGGGATTTTTCGAATTCAGTGCTTTGAAGAGAGTATAAATTCTGTTGTTAGCCTTGGAAACCAATGTCTTATAATGTGTTTCAAATCCAAGTTTGTTGGAGAAGATGAAACCTAGATCCTTTATCTCTTGAACTGACTCTAAAGTTACTGTTCCAATTTTGTAGCTACAACTGAAACGTTCACTACCGATTCTTAAAACTTTGGTTTTATCGGGAGCTAAGGGTAATCCCCAATTCTCGGACCAACATACAATATGATCAATAGCTCTCTGCAGGTCCTCGCAGTCAGACGCACTTTCCATAACTTTGTACAGTTTGATATCATCGGCATACATTAAGCATAGGGTATTTTGGCGCTGGCGCCTGTGACACGGGTGCGAGGGGGTTTCCTGCCGACGGATGTGATAATCATGTTCAGATGGGCAGACTACCCTAGTAGGCAACTTTTCAGCCAATTCTGCTTACGAAGAAAAAAGTCGGTCAAAAACTGGCCTGATTCCGGGTGATTTGGGCAGTAAAAGGTAAACACTACCTAGAAGTCTTGAAAGAGAAGCACAATTGCCGGCATTTAAGCCTTTTCCTGCTGCAAGTAAGAGCAAGCTGACAAATAACGGATAAAATGCCTACAGAAGATGTTCCGAAAAAATGCAAAAATCCAAACCTGCCATGGAATCGAACCCATGACCTCCCACCTATGAAGCAACTTACCTATCCACTACACCATCGACCACTGAGTCTTTCTGAACTCGAACTTAACTTGAGCTACGCAAAGGAGGATCGGCGAGTGCTATGCTAAACCACCACCCCCTAACTCCTCATAGAGAATCGTTCAGGCAAATTTTGGAAGCAGATTTGAGTTCAGCGTCCCAAGACCTACACGTCGATATGCATCTCATCTTGAATGGCCATGGCGACCTGTTGACCTTTCCTGGTAAGCAGGAAAATCGTCCCAACTGCCTCTAAGCTGAGTTCACATGTACAAAACCTCACTTCGTCATCAGAACATAGGCTCCCGCTTTCAAGCATTAGTGTCGTGGAAGGTTGTCCATAAGGGCATCCTCCTTATGCAGCTCCATTTTTTTCGTCAACAGCTGTCGTGCTGGCGTGAGGGTGGAAGAAGAAAGAGTTTGAGGAAGCGCTCCGAGGGGTTGGTGTCGATGGAGGACAACATTCTTGTCCATATTGCAAAAGAGGAAGAAGAAGGAGTCGAGCGTGTGGTACTAGTAGAAACGTTATTCCTAGGTATACAACTGCTCACATTACCGGTACCCTTCATCAGGTAATGGGCACGTATTTTGAATTCGAAAAAGTATGACAGAACTTCCCCCGCCAACCTAATAGTAAAACCAGTAGTAGTAAGAGCCACGATACCTGCACAGCTGCAGCAATTTCCGCACCAAAACCACTCGTGATTGGAGCTTCATGCGTCACTATTAACCTCCCTGTCTTCTTTACGCTCTGAAACTCAATTTCACTGAATTCTGTACTTAACCTTGAATCCTGACAACAACTTGAATACAGTGAGAAATTATCGCAGTCACACCTTTTGCTACTGCAAGTTTCAAAGGGCTCGATTAGAGCAAGACTTGTGCGAGTAAACAAATGGTTGGTTCCATTTCCTCCGGTGGAAAATTCTTGCATTTCTACACTTCCCATTTTAATGTGTTAATATATGTTTGAACTTTTCGCCCAAACTAAATTCTACTCTAACATGCCAAGCCGGTCCGACTATTCGAGGGTGGTGGGTTAAGATCGCTGCTCATGGAACCCCTCATTACATATCATTTAGCATTTACCTTGAGGTACCTTCAGCAATAAATTGTTTTCTATACACATATGACAGAAATCTTTCGTAGTATGTATATTATTGATCAGTGCTACACGCAGTGTACAACGCAATCAAATGTCTCAAAGTACCGTTTCTCACCCCTTTTGGCTTTCCTGGAACTTCTCAACAACAATTAACCTCCCTTTTAATGCCATGTATGAGTCCCTACACCATGCGAGGAGCCGTTTTGAAAACACTACTATCGAGTTCAGGTTGTTCTCACCATGCTCATACACAACGACCTTGAAGAAATGACGATTTCGCGGAATCTGCAGATCCAGAATCTTCGTGTATGAACGCGGCCTTATAACCTACATGGAGGTGTCGAAACCCCCCCCCCCGTACCGCATAAAAATATGTTCAGCGAGAATGAATGTCATACTGTCGACATGGAATGACCGCTACTGCAGTCTCAATGAAAATCTAATTTTGATACTAATCGTGAGCAGTTTTTGGTTAACCATTTTAATATTTCAGTGATCTGCTCACGTCTTCGTTCTTCGTAGACCTCCCTATGCAGAGAAGCTGCATTCACATTTTGCGCCAACGTACGGGCAGCGTTTCGAGCATAAGCCAGCACCAGCTAGGAAAGTGTAGATGTCGTTCTAGCGAAAATCAGCGTCCACCAGCGTACGCCATCGTACGCCAGCGTACAGCAGCGTTTTGGCGTTTTGCTCAAGTACAAATTGACCCGCGAAAACGCTGGCATATGCTGGTGCACGCTGACGCAAAGTATGAACGCACCCTAACGTACTGTAGTAATCATACACGTTGCGGACAGCTATAACTTGTTACCGTCCACTAGCTTCTATTCCGAACAATATGACTGAGGATATCCTGGGAAGTATAGCAGCTTCATATAGTACTTCCGAGGAAGAGTAATGCATATAAAAACAAACGCCAAAATGTAAAAGAAAGTAAACCCAGCGCAATACAACCGCAAACTAAACCGCAGAACGATCGCCCCGTGACTGAGGGGAAAAAATTGAAGTTACGGATTTTTAGGCGCACTTCAGCGAAGGAGGAGGAGGGCTCGTTTCGCCATTTCACTCCATCAACCATCGTTGTGATGGTCACAACGGAGGGGTCGTAGCGAGCGAGAGGGGGGGGGGGGGTCGTATAAAGTCTGAGAAAATTTTTTTGATAGTTGATTTCTCTTGTTTCACGGACGCTATAAAGGGGGGGGGGGGGTCGTATTTGGTCGTTGTTGGGAGAGGGACTGCCAAAGATCTATACAACTACTATTTCCGATAGTTGAAAATGATAGTTAAATCCTGACGACCCCCCCCCTCCCCCTCCCCCCCGCTCGACAGCAAATTTCGGGGAAAATTTCTTCAAAAAGTTGTAGGAGTTGGGGAAAATCTAAGAAGTGGGTAGGTAGATAGGGAAGGGGGTTCGATTCTGATGACGTATTTTACAGGAATGATAAACGCGGACGGCTTGCCCTGCGCCATCCTAAGTAGTTGCGGTTTAATGTCTTACCGTGTGAGAACTGTGCACCGTTGTGAAGCTCAAGGACGCTCGGCACTATTTACCCTTTACTGCCCCAACAATCGCGAATTGAGCCAGTTTCTGACCGACTTTTTTCTCCGTACAGATTTGGCTCAAATGTTGTCTTCTGGGGTATTTTGACCTCCTGAATGTGAATATGACATTAATTAGTGGGCGAAACCTCCTGGCGCCTGCGCCACAGGCGCCGGTGATCTGAGGTATTTTGGCGCCAGCACCTGTAGCGCGGGCGGCAGGAGGTTTTGCGCCGAGCGGATGTGATATTCGTGATCAGAGGAGTCAAACCACCCCTGGAAGCAAGTTTTCAGCGAGTTTGGTGATTTCGACTATTTTGGCGCGGGGCCCGTGGCGCCGGGCGCCAGAGGTTTCTGGGCTAGCGGACATGCGATATTTCGCTGTTCATGCGAAGGTCAAACTACCCCCGCGGGCCAGTTTTCAGCAATATTCTGCTGCGTTGGAAAAAAGTCGATCGGAACTGACCCTGATTTCGGATGGACGGGCAGTAAAGGGTAAATAGTGCCGGAAGCTCGAACCATGGTAAATGGTATTTACATGGTATCAAGGGTAAACAAACACTCTTCACAAGAGTTGACAAGTGATCCCTACAAAATTTGGCAGGTATCGTTTTTCGAGGACAGGAGGCGGAGGTGGTGTAGTGACAAGTGGCGCGCTTACCACTCGCGCGGCGCCGGGTTCAAATCCCGGGTCGACTCCCGCCCAGGCCAACCAAGCCTTCTACCCTCCGGGGACGGTAAATTGGTAGATTCGGTTCTGGGAGGAGAAACACTTCTTGTACATTCGGCTGGCCACGCAGTTCATTGTATTAGGCCATATACACGACCACATATACATCGACAGTCTATAAAGCCATACGATTTCTGAAATGGAAGTTAGAATGCCGTGCCGCATCCAAAGGATTGATCAACGTCGCAAGACTTTATTTTTTTTATATTTAATATTTCGTGTTTGCCAAGTTTTCAGAGGTCTCCTCTTGATAGATCCACAAGACGGGAAGAAGCAGAAGCAGAACGTAAATTGCCCCTCCCCTCTCCCCCGTCGCCGAACTGCGTCAATATTCATACATGTACCTTATTACTCACCTCAACAACTGCATCTTCATCCCAGGGGAGGATCGTTGCTTAGAGTCGAATTAACATTTCAATGGACATTCAACTGCTCTTTGCCATGTGCAGCTTCGAGTGACAACATACTTGCAGTTCCACTGATAATATTGTCATGTCAGAGCCTGCAAAGAAGATACCTCGCCGCTCATACAATGGAAGCCTCCTTTTGAATTTTGTGAAGACGCACCTTTCAGGACGACCTCAGCTTGACCAAGGGGAATTGTGTAATCTCCCGTCGGTACTTCTTCTGCTGCAATTCTATAGAGTATCTGAAATAGTTAGAACTATAAAACCTTCCCATAACTACGGAAATTAAGTGCGCACGACTTTTAGGTTCGAAGAAATGCATGGGATCCGCGGTCGGGCGAGCCAGTAATAGAAGTCCTTTCGCTTGAACGGGGCCTCGGGGTATCACAACCTAAAACTATGGCTAAAATCCACCTATTTCAACAATAATTCTCGGAAGACCAATCTAGAACTAGAGATAGGGAAAACTCTCACCTTCAACCCAGGAGTATGAGTTGAAGTGCCGCCTTGGGCTTTGCGAGTATACAAACACCAGTCCGACGGCACCATTAAGTGGATATCCCGTGCAGGGAGCGCAGGTTGAACATCCACCGTCTACCGGTATGTACTTAGTCTTCGGTTTACTAACTCGCAACATAAAACAATACCCAAGCACTGAACCACAGGAAAATTTTCAAATCTAGTACTGATCATGATGCTGGGAAGATTTTAGTCACTAATGGTATTTCAGTATCGCGTTACTTCGCCCTACAGCTACACCTATGCCAAAACCGACAATACCTTGTTCACACAAAGGAGTGTTGAACACTCTATCTGCGCCTTAAATTCAGACATGAAGAGAGTATTTGAAGACTAAATCATTTTCGCACTTACCGTACTTGTCTTTCAACCCGACGGAACACCTAAACACACCACCAAATGCAACGTCTTCACCAAAAAGTACTGCCGTTTTGTCCGTTTCCATAGCGACATGTAAAGCACTATTCACAGCTTGGCAGACGTTCATTTTCTCGGTTGGACCTCCAGTCTGAAGAACATTTTGAAATGAATAAGGCAGAGAAAACTTAGTTGGCTTCAGTTAAGGAACATTCACTATAAAATTTCAAGTGCGACAAATTTTGAATTGAACGTACCACTGGCTATTTCCGGCTTCATTTCGGACGGGAAAAATGAGAAATGGGCGCCATTGCGCTGCGATTGTTGGATCAATCGTGGAATATTTCGCAAAGCTATTCTAGTAGTACGAGATGCCATAACTGTAGAAAAGGATTTTCGATCAAGGAAAACAAAGAGGAAGAGTTTGACAGAAAAATTATGTAATCAATAAGATAGAATAAATACTTGTCATTGACAGATCGATTGAAAATCCAACAAGGTAGTGAGAAAAAATTTATTGATCGAAGCAATGGACACCAGCGATCCACCCACAGACATAATTGAGTCGTCACTGAACTCATACGGCCACAAAATCACCGGTGGTAATAGAACTCTTGTGACGTCATGAGGAAATATATTTAACTAACATGTGTTAACTCTAGCAAAGGCGCACCAAACCAAACCTCAACAGAAAATTTCACAAATAACTACTAACAAACAGCGATGTGTTCTAGCAACGACCTCTAGTACCCAGGTCAAAACAAGTAACCACAGCCGAAAGACCGCTACCATAACGTCAGTAGCGATTAAGGAAGAATTCGTAATCGAAATACGAGTACATAAAACAATGCCATTAATACAAGTGTTCTCATAAAACAGAACATGAAGCGTTCCCCAGTGAAATGGGACGCTATCAGCTCACAAGCTGCGAGGCGGCTGGTTCGTCCTCATCCGACGTTAGCCCTTCCAGTCCTTCATCAACGTCAAACAGTTCCTCATTGATAGCTATAGAACCAACACCTGAAAAGGAAATCCTATGAATTTGGCCTTGATACCTCCTTGTTTCTTTCATTTAGATCTTCTCGTCTTTACTTTCATAGCGCAACCTGAGCATCAAGTAAATAAACAATGTCTAGTTGCAACTTTAGCAATAGCATCTACGGGCATGGCATAAGCCATTCAGGACACCGCTGAGGGGCTTATGCCCACGTTATCAATAAATAAAAAATCAACGAGAAGAACAGTCTCTCAGTTGCATTCACAATAACAAGATCAAATACAAATTAAACAGTTTCTGAACTTATTCTAGAATGGTAGCTACTATTTCACGCCGCTGCTCGTGCTTCAGAAGCTATCACAAAAAGTCAGAGTTATAAGTGAGTTGAGGGCGAAGTCAATCCCCGAACTCGAACCCGCATCTCCCACTGACCGGGCGAGAGCGCTCTCCGCCACCGTGACCACCCCACCTCCTCAGTCAACTTTTTGTACCATAGCTACTTACTTTGACATCCTTCACTACTTAGAGCAGGAAAGAAACGAAACACAACAAGGCTACCTGCAGCTAATCCATCGGCACCAGCGACACCCTCCACAGGTGCCGCTCCATCGTTATCCAAATCGTCATCCATACCTCCGAATTTGAAGAAACTGTTGTCAATCTCGAACACTTTTCATCGGGCTAAATAGGTACCGATATATGAACCTTGAATTTTGGAAGAACATTACAAAGGAAGTATAAAAAGAAATCCAACAACTCACGTCAACCTCCTCCTTCTCGAACTCCACATCTTCGGCGTCTTCATCATCAACACAAGCATCGGCATTGAAAGTGAACAAGTCACGACCACTCATACCCAACTACAAGCAAAAAAAATCGTAAACCCCAAAAATCAAGTAACAACCAAAATCTCACAGCCTTTCCAGGCCTTGATCTTGTCCTTCTTCGCCTTTTCTTCATCGGCTTCTTTCTGCTTCTTCTCTCTTAATTTCCTCTTCTTCCATGCAACGAAAGACTGGAGAGTGACTTTCGTTAGATTTTTCGACGACAGAGCAGCTCTCTGAAAATTCACCGTTTGAAGACAGGGTCGAAGAGGACAACTGTATGAATCCCCAATAAAGGTTGGAAGGATACTACTGCTATAATACTAAACATGTCTGAAAGCGAGAGATGACGACGCGCAGTAGGCAAAGGAACCTCAACAGTAACAACAACGAAAACCATTCGCTGCCCTTCTTGGAATCACAAGGTTTTCAAAAGCGTTTCGAGTTTCAAACCACCTGCCACAAACATTTCTGCGCCCCTTTTGGAAGGTTCAATTCTTGAAAATCCACAAAGTCTTACTAGGGATATCTGAACAGGAACTGACCTTCACAAATGGCAAACAATGCTATTTAAGAAAAGATCTTTGCAACGCCGCCGCGAGCCGCGTGGCCCCTCCCAACTACGTTAGCGCCCAGAAGCATTCATGGGCACGAGCGCGGTCAGGAAAAAAGAGCATGCAGTTCCGATTAATGCTCGCCGCCCTCCAACGAAGAACAACTGCAGCGGCATCTCCGTCGTCGTCGTCTTAGCAAAAGTGGGCGGTCCAACTGGGCGGGCGTTAGAACTAGAACTTTCAGCGGCTGTAGCTCGCTCCTCGCTCGCTGTGGAGTCGCGAGAGTGGGATAGTCTCTAGCTTGGGGGCTGTACTACTTGCACAAGGAAGGACGACCTTGTACTACTCGAGCGCTGGTGCTGTCTTTAATGATGGCAAGCCCCTTCACAAACTTTTTTCTTTACCGTGAAAGATCTGCACTGTTAAAGCAGATTTTCGTGAAGATTTCAAGGGGATGAGGGCGAAGGAAACTCTAGGTAATTAAATCGGGCGATTCCTAGCATTCGGCCCGCCCCGCCTTACAACCTTCAACCTTCACAAAAGTTTTACCTCGCAAAATGCATGCAACTTCATGTCTCGAGCTTCGCCGTTCCTCCGAATATTATCTTGGACGGCATTTAGGGGTGGGGAAAACTAGCGAATCCCAAAGGATGAAGGTTTTCGCGAGGCGGGTGAGAATGTGCTCCAATACGAAACGAAACCGAGACGAACCAGTTGACTCCGCAGAACGCGCAATCCGCATGAAAATGCATCATGCCCCACCTATGTAAGAGTCCGCGGATTTCGCAGAGTTCGCGGACTAACGAAGACGGAAGCAAGGAATCAACTAATATTTTCTTCGGCGATCTCGCCTATTCTTCCAATTCTGCGCATTCTTGGAAGTCTACAAATCCTGCGGACTTTTTAAATCTACAGGCAGGTCTTTTCCGCGATTTCGCGGTAATCCTGCGTGATGAAGGCATACACACACACACACACACACTTCTTCTACTTTTATTAAATTATTCTCAAACTTAGCGCTTTCGCTTCAGGTTACTCTCGTCGAAACGCCCACATCAAATGCAGTAATGATAACTCATCACTAAAAAAAACTCACCCGCTCACGTCAACGTTGGCAAGAAAGCTCGATCGAAGTACTTGAAGTGATTCTGTAACACCGGCGGCGCGTCAGTCTACATCTGTTGGCACGACTGACGGATTCGAGCTGACCCGACTGGCCGGAATTGTTCCTTCTTTCTTTCTTTCGTTCTTTCTTTTTCTTATGGGCGCTTAGCTTCTTGTCTTATTTGGAAGGCTTCCACACAATCGATATCAAATCTGTTGGTGTTAGTAGACGTTTTTTCTTTCCTCGAATATGAACTGTTCATAATTTCTTTTTCAGTCATTCTCTTCAAATTCGTTGCTGTACTTTCTATTTCCTTTACTCTCGGCTCTAATGCTTCACACATGATTGATATGTCTGTTTATGTTTCCAATATGTATGCAGCTAACTGTGAGCTTAATGAGGCGTCTCGTCTTGATGTGGATGTTACGTAAATACACGAAGGGTAGCCGTGTAATTGCACACCGCGGGCGATCACCGTAACCCCAAAAGTGTTTGCTTTCGCCATGGAGTGCAACTGAGGTGTTATAGGTTGGTCATTACGTGTATTAAGGGGTTCTTGATCAAGATAGCTTTCAAGGAAACATTCCGTACTGCTTCTACTTTGGTAACTGTCGGTACGGCTCTTTTCACTTATCGGTGAAGAATTGAAGAAATAATGAATTGTTGGGTTGACGAAACGAATTAAGCGCATTAGTTCGAAGATGTACAGGATTTCGGGAGTAGATCGAAAAATGACCAATGCTTCTCGTCTCTCTGCAATTTTTGGAGCAATTTATCCTTTCCTGCGCAGTTTTCGAAGTTGAAGTTGCGTCTTCGATTTGTATAAAAGTAGGTCTCTAGGCGTAGTTCGACTTCCTGAACATGAAGTCACATCCATTCAATCACCAGCGACCACTAGCTCCACCAACGTGGCCAGCGAACACTAGCGATCTTTGAAGTATAGATGGCGAACCCCAGCGCACAACAGGGTCCAAGAGTGGAGATTATGGCAGGAGGTTAGCACAGCTGGTTGAGCATCGTGAGATTGCGGTGCGTGCTACGGCACCTCAGAGCTGCCCTACACCTCACATCAAGCCAGCTTAATTCTAAGCTTTGGCAGTTGTACGGTGCGGTCGCACACGGCGCATTTTCATGATGTCTCCTCAACTATCCCTTTCACTACTCCTAGACGGCGGTGGACGCGGGCGTTCGCTACATCTTGATCCCTAGCCGCTGACGCTGCCTTTCGCTCGAAACGAAAGCGTTGGGTGGCTTCCTTTTGGAGCGAGAAGCAAAGCAGCACCCTGAATGGGTGTCTACGGTAGTGATCCTTCTCTTCACTGGGGCCGCAAGGTAAAATCGCATCCAAACTGAAGACCACACAGGAAATCGAGACCTCGCAAGATGAGGAAAGCGTTGCAAGACTGTAGCGTCCTGTAGTCTGTTCCAGGCTGATACCTCATAGTAGCGGAGGAGAATTCAAGTGCCTTCTCCAATCCAATATACAAAATGAATTGGAGTGAAAATCATGTATAACCCTCCAAGAACAAACAGTGCGCAACGACACAGGTGCCGGAAGTGAGGTCATTGGTTCACAAGTATGCATTTCATCCGTTGCCTTGTTTTAACTATCCATGAAGACAAGTAGGATACCCTGTATGTGACAAGAGGATCGTGATTTGCCGCGCTGCTGGGCGTCGCGTGCGACGTCTCGCCCGCAAAGGACGATTGTTTCAGGCAGTAGATGGCGACAACATGCAATTAAGGACCGAAAACAGTAATGACTATTGCGGATGGCGCGCGGGAGTTCTTACATGAAAGTCCGGTGCTCCATTCGACAGGTTAAAACGAGTTATGAAAACGCCGCGCCCATCGCCGCGCGTGGCGGTGCGGCAAATTACGATCCTCTTTACCGTCTCCCAGGAAAACTCTATGGAGTGTCAGCCTGAAACGGCTGATGATTGATACTGGTTAAAAACACTCTCTCATTAGTGCGGACCTGCGAGTGAAAATCGCTTACTTCGCCGTTTTCACAAGCAGAAGAAGCATGGAGTGGTTCCTTGGAAGCGATTGTAGCGTAGGATCCATTCAATATTTGAGGTACACTATGTTGGTCATTATTTGCCCTCCCTGGCGTCGTAATGACCAACATAGGTTGCCATAATGCGCTCCATGGGCGAATGAAAACAGTTCTTGGATTACGGTAATTGCCCGCGTTGTGCAATTACACGGCTACCCTTCGTGTATTTACGTAACATCGTCTTTATTGTGGCTCACCTTCGGCCCTCGCTGCGGAGACCGAGAAAAAATTGTGGAAAACGGATGAGTTGCATCAAATATCAGCCAATTTGAAAAATTTTGACTATTGTTTGGGGAGTGGAAAGAAAGTTGGGCTATGGATTCGAGAACATCACTTATCTGGCACAAACTGGCTGGCCCAGATGAACCTAAAAAAACTAGACCTGATGGCCCTTGTTGATTGGCAATTCACAAGAGCAAGCGTCAAAGAACTGGGCAAGTTTGTTTCTGTCGATTCACCACCCTTCCTCTTCATTTTGCGACTGCTGGTGTTGATACGCATAACTCCAACTTTTGGGAGTCTCGTACTTTGGCGTGTGGGGTTTCCTCGACATCGTGATTTGATCGAAAGTTGGCCATAGTTTCCTCTGAGCTGGGTTTACGTTTTTTAACCGACAGCGTCCCATATAGGCTTTAGGTATCTAGTCGTTATTCTTTTGGCTAAAGTTTTCCATTACTTCTGCTTCATTTTTCTTTCAAGAAAATTCTGGCTTTATATGTGCAGTTGTTACAAAATTTTAGCGGGCTATTCGTTGGCAGGGCATATCATGGCTGTGATCCACAACACTGGGGAGAGAAGAGTCATATTGAGAAGAAATCCTCCCACTTCGATGACCCACCGTGTGCCTCGAGAGTGCGTTCATACTTTGCGGCAGCTTTGCCGAGCGACTCTCAGCGTTTTGGGCGCCCCCGAGCGTTCTGAAAGTTTAGAGTGCCTAGGAAACCATAAGTGTCGATTATCGCTGAAAACCCTGACAGATGCTCAAAATCGCAAAGTATGAAACTACTGCGACAGTCTGTCCCTGCCTCAATTGCCAGGTAGCGTCATAGATCATTCTCATCTGTTGTACTTTCGAATAGGACTGCGCCCTTAACTAAGGGAAGTTTCTCTGCGACTTCATTGAATATTAGTCGTCATATAATTACTAAATATTAGTGTTATAACGCCGAAACTTAATAATAGCTGTTGGACTCCTTGCCTAGTGCCTTGCTATTCTTTCATTTAGGCTATCTTGAACTCACGAGGGTCCTGAACAATGCCGCCGAAACAGCAACCGAGTAAGAAGGCAGAGCAAAAGAAGAAGGAGAAGATCATCGAGGACAAGACCTTTGGTATGAAGAATAAGAAAGGGGCACAAAATCAGAAATACGTCCAACAAATTCAAAATCAGGTTAGCAAATGTGGAATGTTTTTTTTTCAGATTTTTACAACATTTTTTCGTTAAGATCCGAAACAACAACACCCGTCTGGATCTGATCAAGGCTGCTGAGGCGAAGAAGAAGAAGGAGATGGACGAATTACGAGATGTTACAAAGCTTATCAAGCCTGTGGAGCAGAAAGTGCAAAGAGGTCCTTCTGCGGTCATACCCTTTATTCTTTGTGAGGCCGCGCTTATACTTAGCGACACCGGAGGGGAAGGGGAGAGGAAAAACAACCGTAGAATCAGAGACTGCTCCGGAAATAATCAACGGGAATTGGTCTTTTACGATTCTCCTATTATCCCAGTTCACTGGTGGACAGCGTCCGGTCAATCGCCCCTCAATTATCTGGTACGCATTGTCATTTCCCTGTCATTCTGTTCATCGATACGTCAGTTCGCAAAACTGTGGACGGCCGCCTCAGCGCGTCATACTTTGCGACAGTGTTTGCATCACCTTCTCGTTTTGAGTATCAGCGTTCTTAGCTCCACCCACAATGTGAGCGTTTGCCAGTGGCGTTTCTGAGCGTCGACAGCTGTTATCGGCGATTAATCGACCATTCTATTCTAGTCGCTCAAACGCTGGGGCATGCTCGAAACAGTGGTGGACGCTCAAAACGCTGACGATACCCCTACTTTCTTAGTCGCTCGAAAGACTCAGTAGGTTCAAAACGCTGCTGGAAAGTTCTAGCGCACTCACACGAAGGCTGAGGTTTCGAAGCATCCCTTGTACATATTGGACGTGGTTCATTTTTTTCCGTGAAGATCGGAGTAAGGACTGCAATACATACAGCAATAATGAGGCAATCAGTTGATAGAATGTTTAGATCATAGCTCTTTGACGATCCATGTAGCCAACACAAACGATGTTTGATATCATTATTTTATTATTTACGAATTGTGATATCATTATTTTATTTTTATATCGGCCCTGGTTTGTTTTGCCAACAAGGCCGATTAGAGTAGTTGTTTTTCTCAGATGTTGATCCGAAATCGGTGGTCTGTGCGTTCTTCAAACAAGGAATGTGCCACAAAGGAGCTAAATGCAAATTTAGTCACGACCTGGCCGTTGAGCAGAAGACTCAGAAGAAGAATCTCTATGTTGATAGCCGAGATTTAAAGAAGGCAGCGAGGATGATAGGCTTTTCATATAAGCGTGGCATGGTTTTGAGGGCGGTCTTAGCATTTGCTTTGCCCATTTTTAGATGAATGACAAAATAATGGCTTCTTTCTAGATAATATGGAAAACTGGGATGAATCTAAATTAAATGAGGTTGTAAACAACAAGCATGGCGAAGCGAACAAGAAATTGAATCAAACCACAATTGTAAGTTTGAGTCTCATCCACTAGCAAGGCTCATAAACGTTCTAGTACGTCTCTTGGTGATCCTGAGACCGACCATACGCTTTGACAACTGCTCAACTTTCAGGTCTGTAAATACTTCCTCCAAGCTGTTGAGGAGAGCAAATACGGGTGGTTTTGGGAATGTCCCAATGGTGGAGAAAAGTGTCAATACAGGCATTGTCTTCCGGAAGGGTAGGATAACTTCTTAATTTCTTCATTACCGTGCTTCTGCGTAGTTCATCGCTACTTAGAGTCGTTGGTAATTAGAATTCAGAGTACTGATAATTACAGATACGTACTGAAGAAGGATAGGAAGAAGATGGAGGAGCAAGATAAAGAGAATCGAATAATAAGTCTCGAAGAGCTGATTGAGAAAGAGGTAAAGCATTCGCTTTGTACTCGCTAGCTCTATGGTGTTCATCATTTGAGTGATTTTCCTGTACGGCATTCCCTGTATTGTTGTAGTTTTGCCGT